CTGACAACCTTACCGCCATCTTTGAGCCGATTGTCTAGATCTGTGTTCCGCAACCTTTTTCTATTCGCGGCACACCATGAAGTATCCATGACTCAACACGGCACACAAAAATGTTATTCCCCTCATAAACACATGATATCAGACAATTAATATAAATATGTAACGTGAACAACTGATTATTATATTATTTATTATCATTAAACAGAAATCGACTCGTGCTTTTATTAACAATTAATGAACTTTAATTCACTGTAGAAAATACACTTCTATTACTATTAAAGTAAATACAGTAATTCTACTCATACCCTCAATGTGATACTTGCGCCTGCGTAGCTGCACACAGGCGACTGATCCGTGGTGGAATCGTTGACAACGCAAGTCTCATTTCTTCATCGATGGATTTGAGCCGCTCCTTCTTTGACGTCTAAATTTCAGTTAACGTCGAGAAGCCCAGTTCACACAAATATGTAGTTGAAAATGGCAATAACACATTAACTGCCATCTCGGAGATAGCCGGGTATGCACTCCTTATTGCCAACCAAAACGTATCCAAAGGCACTTCGAGAAGTTTTAGTTTCAATGTTCTGTCTGCTTTTAAATCTGCGAGTTCCTCTTGTATATTAATCGGAAGATATTCTGAATTCGCAACGAATGGATCACGAACCCAGTCGAAATCTTGTACTCTCTCTCCAAAATACTTATTGAATTTCTGCTGCATTTCTAAATGTTCTTTAATTGTGTCCATCACCACTTTATTGCCCCCAGCAAGTGACCATACAGTCGGGAACATCTCAAACGACCCATCCGTAATTCTCTGTATCCACAAATTCAGCTTATTTACAAATCCTTGTACCTTATCCATATTAGTTAGTTTATTTTTGTTCCCATCTTGCATCTTTCTGTTCAGCTCATTCAAGTGTATGAAAATATCGGAAAGATATGCCAACTTACATACCCATTCATCATCTGCAAATAAATCCGCGTACTCATGCCCCTCAACAGTCAAAAATGCACGTACCTTCTCATTAAGTTCAAATATTCGCTTTAACACTTTTCCTCGTCATAATCAAAATAGCGTTATGAAAGACAGGGAAACCCTTGCTAATCCCTGCAGTTTTAGGGAGAAGCACGCACACAGAACATGCGGCAAGTTTATCAAGGAAGCCGCGTAGATGCGAGAAAAATAAAAATAAATCAATAATGAAAACTATGATATAACAACTGTGAGTAAATAATTTACGTTTAATATCTTAGAATACAACATTACTGTACATAAAAAAATCACAGCATGCAATAAAGAATAAACAAGCATCATCTTATTTAATCAGTGCAGTGGCTGAGAATAAAATACAAGCATATGAAACATGTAACTGGGATAAAATAAAAGTAATTAAATTCGACAATTAATTTCTTACAATAGGTAAAAGTTCACGTCACACCTTTCACCTTGTGTCGGCACACCAGTTGCGGAACACTGGTCTAGATAATGTGAGCGCCTCAACGTCTCACAACCCTATGGGCCTTCATCGCCTGGTACAGGGATAGCTTTACTTTACTTTACTTACTGCAGAGTAACAAGTATTTGGCGTATTCCAATGCGAAGTCAACTCTAGGGGCGGCTGCGGTTCTGCTATGGTCAGACTTCTGCCACAACAGTTCTGAGCCCATGGCTCAGATGAAATCGTTTCAGCACAGTAGTTCAATTTTGCTTCCATTGCTTTTAAGTGTATTTATTGATTCATGTGTCACCATTTGTGGTTTATATATATTTAATCACATAATTTTCATGAGGGATCCTTGGCTAAAGGCAGGTAGACAAAATCAAGCATGGATGCTGCTGGAACCTGAGTGTTAAGCTCCAACATCACCCCAAGGCACCAAAACTAATGATTCAGGCATGTTGCACTTGCAGTGACACTGATAGATATCTGGATGGGTAAAAGGGGGTAGTACTGTGAGCCTCATTTATCTTTCGGATATTACAAGCAGTGGTGTTGTAAGTGCTTCTGATGCAAGATGATTAAAAATGAACTGGAAGAAGCAGTTAAGGTCAAATCAAGGTAAATTTATTTTAACAAGTCTACATAACAATTAGTTAATGATCAAATCAAGTTATTTGTTTCAAGATGACATGCTTCAATTTTATTATAATCAGGTCATACAAAACAGTTGTCAATGAACTGCTACACCTACTACGCTGGAATTTGCCTGGAGAGACTCAGGAGCACATTAAAGAAACCTTTGGATAATTGGTGTATTTGCTGAAAACTGAGCTCAGAACCTCCTAAATATGAGTCTAGAGCATTACCACCACACTAACCAGCTTGGTGAACAGATTTTCATCTGATAATTCATTATAATAGGAAGAAACCCACATTTCTTCTGAGTCAAGTAACAAGAAACCCATGTTCACTTGGTTAACAGAAAACTAATTTGGCTTTCAGATCCTCGCTGCTGGTCACGTGATGATGTGGCAAGATGGCTGAGGCACATGGCAACAATCCACCAACTTCCACACGTTCCCACCGACAGATTCCTTATGAATGGCAAGGCATTGTGTCTCATGAGCATAGACATGTTTTTAGGAAGGGTACCTCTGGGTGGAAAATTGCTTTATAAGGATTTTCAACTTAGGTTAGGTAAAGCAATGTACATGAGTTTACCTTAAAGACAAAATTATACCCAACTCCTGGATAAAGCTGTCACTAGTTAAGAAAACAGTGAACTAGTGGTGAAAAGAATACACTCTTTTAAAAAGATGGACACAACTGTAATGTGAGTGCACAGAGTGAATTGTGAAGTCTGCAAGAAATTTATCCTTCTATTAGTACATTTAGTCCAGTGGCTACTTCATTCTTCTATTAACAGGTTTAGCTCAGTGGCTGCCAACTTTCAATACACATTTCCCCATTAAATTGCCCACAATCTGACATTTTCCAATTTGGGTCAGGGGCTGTTCTTGTAGCTTGCCAACACATGGCCCTCAAAATACATCATTAGGTAGCGGTTCAGGCAACACATACATTAAAACATCATAATTATACTGATATTTTGAAATGTGTTAAAAAACAATGAGTGCAAAGGCTTCCCTCCTGGCCTGCAGTGGAGGTTTGTTGAATATATACTGTTAAACAACAACAGATATCATGTCAAGTAATGAACATGGAAGGTATCTGAGGAGAAGCTTTGGGAAGACAGAGATAGAAGGAAAGACTTAGTTGCTATATGACTCACATCAAAGAAGAAACACTAAGGAAATATATACTTGCAGTTTCATTAGGTAATAGCCTTAATTTGTATACACAACTGATTAAATGTTTTATAATTGCTGACGGATTTGGTGCTGACATGAACCTGAGTTATCCTGTTAACAACACAGAAATGAACCCTTGTGTTACCTTGGTGCTACAGTGTGAAAATATAGTGAAATATTGTTAAATCCATATTTGAGGAATCAAATTACTGCTTTACGGTGGTTCAGAGTATCACATTCAATCCCGCAAAATAAAAACCTTGAAAAACTGCTATTTTGCAATAAAGAATACAATGAATACTACAGTAAATTTTAGTTATTACAACATTATAAATTGTACTTCATACTTCTTCAAGAACACTCAGCTTTCAACTATATCACTAAGTTATATTGTAAGTTTCTACTTACACATGTCAACAAGAAGTGGCGATTTCACTGTGCATCTCAAAAACATGGGGCAATTCTGCTTACACTTCTCAACATGTGGCAAAAGAAAAGGCATACTTAATACAGTAATCCCAAAAATCCTGGTTCTATGGATTAATTTTGAATACCAATTCTCTGCCCATGGCATAAAAATTCATGTATGCACAGTAGATCCATATTACTTCTGAATCATGTTGTGTATTTCCAGGATCAGTCTATCCCTACCAACATCTCTCTTTCATGTTCTGGCAATTGTAATGTCCACATGACATCTAATTTCTCTATAGTCACGACACATAATTGTGATCATGCAGTAATATATATGTATTTAAATCACAGCCTCTGAGTATGTGATTAGTAGAAAGAGTGAGGAATCTAATGTCAAAAGAGAGACGACAGATGTGTTATAAAAGCTTTATGCTACTGTAAATTAGACAAGCCCTGCATAACCACAGCTAGGGAGAACTTACCACCTACTTCCTACAGACTTTGGTATTCACCAAGATTCTGCTACTGTGGCAGTCTTCAAGAACATAACTTCCACAGTCTAAGGGGGAATGTTGTACCCTATCCGGTCTGTCTGTGGTTTATTTACACTGACAATCTATAATGTGTGACTCCTGCAAAATGGATGCAATGCATTTGCATCAATACTGCAAAACACCAGACAAGACATAATCTCCATGTAATAAAGAGTTAGCAATTAGTTATTTCAAAGCAAACCTGTTTAAGAAAATACACTGCATGCAGAATACTGTATATCTGTGCACTAAAATACAGGGTTTACAGAGTTGCATTGAGTTCCAGGAAACAATTTTTTTTTAAATCACTATATATGCTGAAAACAGAACAGTGAAATACAAATTACTGTCTTCTCAGGCATGATTCTATTTACTCTGGTAATATCTATATATGGAAAATCTGGGTAAATGCAAAACATGCATGAAGACAATAGGCATAAAACAAACTCAATGAAAAATTCAGAAGAGACATTTATAAGATCTTTATGTATGGTTATTTGAAATTTAACAACAAACAGGAAACTTTTTTATCCATTTTTTCATGAACATGTTCAATGATTCTTTCTGTTTATCTTACAGGGATACACACAGGCAAGTCAGAAAGTTTTTGTAATGATTTATTTTAAAGCTTATGTTGAATGTGCAGCTTATTTTGCATGCAGGTAGAAGCACAAACTCATGGTGAGATAAAAAGCAAGAACAACATTCAGCCTTCAACAGCTTAACTAGTCATGATTATTTGTCCATAATTTCCATACTTCGTGCAATACACAATAAACATAAGTGGAAATACCCAAATCTCAAAACTCAAAGTGTACCTTTATTTCAATCCTCACCATTAAATGCAAGACATATTTTATATCACCAGAATTTATTTTAAATAACAAATATTTTCTAAAGAATGTCTCAGCATATCAAAGAAAAGAAATATAATGTGTCATTTATACTAACAAATATTGTCTGGACCATTTTTTGACTATGAATATCAATTAATATTGTACTTTCTAAAGAAATTAATGTCCTTTGGTATTAAGTCTCATCTTGTACAAGCTCAAATATGGAGTTTCATGTGGAGTAGCAAGGATCAAAATCAACATTCTTTTCCATTACACAGTATGAGCCAGCAATACTAAACTCATTCAGTGGCAATGGCATTCATAACATGTCCACTATTATATCTGTGGGACTTGCTCTTCACTTTCTAAGTCAGTCAAAGCTGCAAGCCAATTGTCATATTCACACCGCCATGCCTCGAAATGTTTCTCATCAATTCGCAGATGTTCTGGCACAGCATGTTGTAGAGGATGTTCAAGCCTATAGGGGAGAGATGCTACAATTAACATGGAACTCTAAATGAGAAATAGGGCATACCATATAATAATATACTGCCATTCTCCCAGAATTCGCACTGGTATAGACCAGCTCACAGATAGCTTGAATAGGGACAAACAAGAACTTGATTTAGACTTTTGGTGGTATAAATTCCTAGAAACTGGACACCAGACAGCTCAGAAAGATGTGGAAGAGCTTCTTCCACCTTTGCCCTTTGGAATTACACTGGACACGATACCTTTAAAAATGGTGAACGAACTATTTGTATTGTACGGAATGAACCATTATTCTGAAAGTTGCCATATTATGACTTTGAAAATAAATGGACGTTTCGCAGATTTACTAAGTGAAATGTCTGTGAAGTCAATGAAGTGCTAACACAACGGTTGAATATTTCAAGCAAGTTTTGTACCCATATAATGAAGACCGAATATCATGAAACACATGTTTCTCAATAAATACCTTTTTGAAGGTCGACTAATTTAAGAGATTCTCAAGTGGCCAAACGAGAAACGAGTCAACCCACTTCAGTACAGTAATGGCTGATGTTAGGGGTCAGTAGTTAACCATAATTACGGTTGCATTAAGAAGTACTAAAATTGGTCTCTCTCCATGTTAAGAGGTAATGCAATGCATCAAGTTTCAACTTATCATCCTGAGCATGAAACTAGGGATCCATATTTTCAAACAAAAAGACTGAATTTTAGAATGGCTGTGACAGAACAAATTTGCTTCTGAATAGGATATGTCAAAATACAAGCCATTGGAAAGAATATGGTGTATGAGTTCAGAGACAGCTGCCGACTGCAATAAATCTAGTGGACAGAAATGAGAAAAATTGCTGAAAGAAAAATTAAGCACAAAGTGAATAAATAATATGGAAACTGACAGCATTGATCATCACATTTGTCACACTACATAACTGAATGTGAAAATATCCATATAACGAAGAATTGGTTTGCTAAAACGGAATCTAATAAACCATACACATAAGATATGAAGATGCAAATGCACCCAGAATGTGCCAATACAACGGTGTATTTTCTTTATGGACATATCAGCTAGAACTCAGACGACAATTTAACAGGCATTCTAAGGTATAATAATAGCTATTTTCTTGAAATTAGTCAGGTTCAGGAAATTAAACATGTACAATATATTATGGATATCTACAACTTTGTGGGTATATAGAGAAATATATTTATTTATGCAATAACAACATTAACATTTTGATAGGCAGCAGAGGTTAAAGTCTGTTGAATATAGTTTAAAATTGATTTAAATGGATTTTTAAAATGCTTCAAACTTTAAAAGTAAAGGCAGCAATTTCGTTGATCTAAAAGCTAATGCCTGGTTTGTTATTTTAATATGGGAACAAAATGTATTACTGATGCTTTTGATAATTTTCAAATGATTATAATCATTAAAAAACCATCTTTAAATTGTACTGACCAATCATCACTTCTTATTCTGTTACACCAGTCTTTTTGTTAATGGCTGCTGTTGACACGGTTATTAGGCAACTTAAACCTTCCAACTTTAAATTTCATCTTTCATATTTTAAATATTCTCATATCTTTAATCCTTTTAACTTTTTAACCATAGCACAAGTGAGATTCTTCCATCCTTGAGGAAATGAGCAGTTGATATCGCAATATATATATAGGTTCAGTTTTATCATTAACTGTGATATACCTCTTTTTGGTTTCAATTAATTAAAGTATATATATATATATATATATAAAGTCAACATTCCTAACATCAGCAGTTACAGACTCTTTGATATTCAACAACGTTTATGTAGTTACATTAGAGTAATAAATTTCGTTACCTATTGTGGTACCTTGTACTTCTGGTGAGGACAAAAACAGTATTTTGATTTTACACTTCAAAGTGTAGTTTCATTGCACTGAAGTATTGGTTGCCCCCTGATGTTGACCATCATTGGTTGAAACATGTAAAGGTTTTACTTTATTACTAAATCTCTGTACTGCATAATGAGGAGCTTCATAACTTGTACTCTTCACCAAGCATAATTAGAGTGACCAAGTCAAGGCAGATGAGATGGGCAGGGCATGTAGCAAGTATGGGCAAGAAGGGGAATGCATACAAGGTTTTGGTGGGAAAACCAGAAGGAAAGGGACCACTAGGAAGACCTCGACGTAGGTCAGAGGATAATATTGTCAGGTGCAGGGGTTTTGTTCATGACTTACAAGATGGGTTCTGGATTGGATTTACTGACACCTTATACAAAGTACTCGGAACTACAGGCAAATACAGGGCTATCACTGATCTACACACTTTGCAGTTCATCGTTACACACACAATAGGATTCTCAGTCTTCACTAGTCATATCCTGGCAACGGATTTGTAACGGTCTCACTGTAACTTCAAATCACATATGTCTTCTTTCCACAGCCTAATTTCTTTCTTGCCATTATTCTGCAACTGCCAATTTTGAAGACTTGACTCAACTCTAATTCTGCTACACTCTTCGTTATAACTACTTTGCATGGACTGAACAGAAAACACCGTTTCCAACAACCCCTATTGCTGTATGTTTACTGATCTGTTGCCTAGAAACTGTTTCTTCTATTGTTGTGTGTATTCACCATTTCGGCTTTTGGGCATCATGTCACAATATTAAAATGGATCTCAGGGAGACAGGATAGGGTGGTGTGAGCTGGATTGATCTGGTTCAGGACAGCAGAGGGCTCTTGTGAACACAGTAATACTAGTATACATTCAGGTTCATAAAATGGAAAATTCTTTCATAGCTGAGAGACTGATGGCTTCTCAAGAAGGGTTTAGTTCCACGGAGTTCATTAGTTATGTAATACTCTCTTCTAACTGAATCATGGGCATTTTTATATAAATACCAAACGGACTGTCCCACTGTACTAGAATCTTTTCCCCTGCATTAGGTGAATGCAGAATATTGTGATAAGTAGATGAAACACTATGTCAAAACATACACTGACATCTCTGATAATTTCAAGTATATACAGACATGGGGAGGGGAAGAAGTATGTTAGATATTTTGTATGCAGTTGGTAACAGTAACATGCCTCAATAATTACTACTAATTATCACTAATTTTCTATAAAGGTACATAGTATCCTTCCACGGCTGAGGAAATGGTTTTTTTTAAAGAAGTTTACAGATCTCAGGACATGTCCAACACTGTACCCCTATGAGCATCGATGTTGTGGTTTGTCAATGCTAATGGTAATAAATAAATAAATAAACAATCACAAACAGACCAACCAGAATGTCATACTTTCCTACAAAAACAATTCATATTAAAATATCCTCCAGTTCCAGACTCCTTAGCATTTTCGTTCCATATACTTTCAGTTTATAATCAATCATAAGCACCATACTACTGATAAGCCCAGAGCTTTGTGACAAAGGTGCATTTTCCATCATTTCCATTACTCATATAGAAACAAGCTTTGGAAGCTATCTTTACTTCATCATCAAGTTTGAAACTTACCTTGCAGGGTCCATTAGATGGAGTATATCTCTATCACCAGGGATACAGTCAACTTCCGAAACGCCGAGCTTCTTTAACCAAAACATGACAACAGAAAATGACCTCTCTGTGTGCATGTGCATGTACACATGCCAGTTTCATAACATAAATGAGTACATTTTTGAGCATTTCACATGTATATATATATATATATATAGTACCTACACTGCTATAATAAAATCAGTAAAATGAATAGAATAAAACTATACCAGGCTCTGTAGTTATCCTCTGCTCTTGCTGCAACTACTCTGCATCCCTCGATGGACTTCTCTGTTAATTTTACGGCCTCAGTTACTGCAGTTGTAGCAGCATTATCCATGTTCTTCATATAAGATATGTCCAAGACAGCTGCAACCAGAAATATCCTATTACTTTCAACTATTCTGACACTAATTTTTTGATCCAGTTCTGCTAAAACACAGCACAGCTTGGTTCATATTTTTCTCCCCCAAAGGTTTATGTATTCCACAACAAAACTGTGAATTTCAGTCACTAAAGACAGCAAATGTCATGCAATGTATCTTGAATTGACAACAAAACAATTTTGTCCTAGACATGAAAACCTCAGAACTTGTAACTAGGGTGACCATCTGTCCCAATTCTCACAGGACAGTCCAAAAATGCACTTAAAATCTCATGTCCTGAAAATGGGTTGAAATGTCCCTCAAAAAGTGAACTACGACAGATCATTGGTCCGCATTTAGCTGGACCATCTTTGACAAAAACTGCTACACTATTAGGTGTATCGAGAGCCACAGTTTCTAAGGTTATACTGGCATACATGAATCATGGGAAGACAACATTAGCAAAGAGGAACAGTGGACAAAAATCAACATTGACACAGAAAGAGATCTCTGTACATTCAGAAGGATTGCTTCAAAAATTTGTGCTACTACTGTAGCACAGGTGATGGGACAGCAGAACTGAATATTCATCTTCAAGACCGTTTCCAAAAAACTGTTCAATGTGGGCTTCACAAATCCAACATCCATGGTAGAGCTGCAACTGCTGAATGTCCGACTGCTGAAAGTAATGCTCAGATACATAAACAATGTTGTCATACCATACAGATGTTCCAAAAAAGTTGCAAACAATAATGGAAGAGGGCACTAATCACTAGGGACCGGAGTTTAATGCAATTGCATATTTCTTTCTTGCAACCAGAAAGTATGGTCATTTGGATATATGTATGAATTACTTCATTTCTTAAAATTTGGACATGGTTTGATGGTGCATATAAATGCATATTTTGCCTGTTTTATGAATAAGCATCATATTTTCGAAGATCTCTATTTATACTGCATATTTCATTTTTAAAATGTTTATCATATATATTTTTTAATTTTATGTTCAAATTTTCAATCATGGTCTTGTGTACATAATTTTTCTTTTCCGTATTAGAATATGTTGCACACTTGATTCAACATTTCATCATGATTCATGTTTCTGATGCAATACCCAGGATCCCTCTACCCGTACCTTGCCTCATCCGCGTACCATCAAAGTGGCCGCGAAGAGATTAGTCGGAAGCAATCACATGTAGCCACTATCAACGTAATACTATTCAAACGATAAGGGACTTCACTTATTTATTTCCGAAGTCTCCATGAGGTTCGTTACGCTTCTTCATTTGTAGCTGGGGGCCATTCACATTAGTGGTGACTAGTCTGTAGTCAAGTTTGTTTAGCTTTCTGTAGTCATGCCGAAAGTGAAAGTAAGTCAGAAAACTAAATTACAGCTGTATCAGCAGGAGTTTGAAGGAGAGATGATAAGTACAGATAACGAAATTCTTTATTGCAGAGCGTGTGAGAAAACGGTTGTGAAAAACGTTTTCAAGTGCTTCAGCATTTGAACACTAATATACACAAAGAGAATATTAAAATTAAATCCACGAAAAGTGCTCCTGTTCAAAAATTGCTTAGTGAATTTTCTAATAATAGTTTCTCAGTTTTCCTTTGATTCATGCGAAGCCTTTTTAGTGGCAGATATTCCGCTGTGGAAACTAACCTATCCTACTCTGAGAAACTTCATAGAGAAGTATACACAGTGCAAAGTGCCGGATGAATCTACTGTGCGCAAAAATTACGTGAAGCAGTGTTATGATCTTACAATTGAAAGCATTAGAGATAGGATTCAAGATAATTTTGTGTGGGTATCAATCGAAAAAAAAAGCACAAGATTGTGGGGGAAGGTTTATTGCAAATTGTAAAGTTGGATCCCTTAATAAGAATGAACAATCTACCCCATAACTTCTTGCGGTAGAGCAATTTGAAACCACAAATAGCTCAGCAGTTTCCGAATTTTTTATCAATTCCATGAATTTACTATGGCCGAATGGCATTCACTATGAGCGCGTATTGCTCTTTGAGGCTGATGCTGCAAGTTATATGATCAAAGCAGGTACTGCTCTTAAACTTATATCTCCAAATATGACACATTTGACTTGCCTTGCCCATGGGTTGCACCTTGCTGCAGAAAAAATTCATGCAAATTTTCCACTTGTTGACAAGTTGGTGTCTTCTGTGAAGAAGGTATTTGTTAAAGCGCCATACAGAAAAGAAGCCTTTAAAGCAGTAGCACCGAGCGTTCCACTTCCACCAGAACCAATTTTAACGCCCTGGGGCACGTGTGCAGTGAGTTATTTTACCGAACATTTAGAAATCGTTAGGAATGTTGTGAATACATTTGATCCCAAAATTGCAGCATCATTTCAAATTGCCCAAAATGTACTGAAAAACACAGAACTAGAAACTAATCTTTCCTATATATCTGCTCACTTCTCTCATCTTAAATCTGCCATTTCCTCACTGGAGGCAAGCAATAGCAATACTACTTTGTACAAGTCGTTAAGTGTGTTCAAAATCACCGTTTTCAAATTGAATTCGGTTCCTGGAGGAGTTGGTGAAGTAGTAAAGGAAAAAGTACACAGCATCTTTAAAAAAATCCAGCATATGAACAAATTTGTGAAACTGAAGAAATTTTAGCCGATAAACATACTGAACTGCCAAGTAAAAAATCACTAACAGTGGAGCAAATAGCGGCTTTTGTACATGCGCACCTAAGTTCCTGTGAGGTCAAAAGAAGTTTTTCCCGCTATAAGGACATCTTACAAGACAACAGGAGGTGACTAACTATGGAAAACCCAAAACATTTAGTAATTGTGAACTGCAACAGAAGAGAAGTTGAAAGTTCGGAGAGCTAAATGTGAGTACCATTGGTTTTTTAAATTTGCAATGAAATATGTTGGCTTTGTTGCATGATTTGTATTTAAGTATAGCTTCTTATTGCAAGTGAATCATTCAGAGATTACATAAAATGAACTTAAATATTGATTTGGTGGTCTTAAAATAATGTAAAATCAATTTTAATATTTGGTATAAATTTTTATGTGCATATTTCGGAAGTTTTTCATGCATAAATGCATACACATTTAAGGGATTATTAGGGCATAAAAATCTGGTCCCTATTAATCACTCAGTACTGCAACAAGATAACTGAGGATATGCACTGTCAAGTAATTAACATCATAAGTCATGCTGAAGAAGTTGCCAGGCGTAACTGTGGTCACATTGAACGTTTGATTCACAGAGGATAAATCTCCATGCAATGGTCTTTTTTTTTGTATATTGATTTCTAGCATTGTAATGGAAATAAAGATTTTATTAATAGATCAAATACGTGATCATTTTGTGCGCCAACCTGTATGTCACAGTGCCTACAGTAACTTTGTTTTCTCCATAATCTGAAAATTCAAACATTACAATCCAAAATCAGTTTCAGTAAATAATGAACGATAGCAGTGTGTGATAAGATGTCCAAGGAAGCAAATCTATATGTGAGATCTGAGGTTTTCACAGCTGTGACTATGAGATTTACAGGTCTTTTAGGATGAGCACCATGAAGTCTAGTAGACAGCTACCTCCTTCCTTCTTGTACCGTGAAGATGGTGGCAGCAGGCTAGTCTGAAATGCCAGCACCTATCTACCAAATGTACATGTCATATCTCAGAAGACAATAATATTCAGATGTTAAATGCACATGCACCATGATACTGGTAGCAAAGTTCGAAAATTACCTTATTCATTGATATTCATGAACTCCACTAACCTAATGAAGGCTTCAAATCATTGGTGTTCATTTCTGCCATGTTCAGAAAGTTCAGGTACAGCTTCTTCTCCAGGAACTGAAGTGCAATGCTATGGGGTGCAGCAGAAGGAGCACCTTCCAGTGCTGTTAGGACATCAGCCAGCTCACGGCCTGTGTATTGGTGGTGGTGATGGTATTTGAGGATTTGCTGACTGCTAGGTATTACAGAACCTCTGCCCAGAAGCAATAAAACACATTTCAGCAGAACTACTATATACCTCTGATTAAATTCCAAAGATAACCCAATAATCTGGACTGGTAACTGCACAGAATTTATAAGTGGTTACTATCCATTTATGCAGATCACAGTGGCCATGCAATCTAAGGTATGAACCGTCTTCATCCACTCAAATACTGGGATCGTGGGTTCGAATCCCACTTGAGGCATGGATGTCTGTGTTTGTGTTGTTCTGTGTGTAGGTAGAGGCCTCGCGATTGGCCGATTACCCATCCAAGGAATCCTACCAACTGTGTATAGAAAGAAGAAAGGAAGCAGCAGCAAAGGTGTAACAAAGGGCTGTAGACCCATAACAACAATAATAATATCCATTTACAGTAAAGCATCTAAATGTAAGTGTGAACTGGAAAACAAATCTCAATTAAGCCCATGGAAAAATTAATATTTGTTGAGCTGCTTAAGAAATTCCCTGCCATGGGCTTTCACTTTTCTATGGTGATGACTCTTCAAATTGTGGTCTTCTGGGTTGTAACAGCAGCCTTGTAGGCAGCAGGTATCACAGTTTCAAGGAACATGCTTCTTCCATTTGCAAGGTTGAAGCATGCTGGGCATGTAACTGATTAGTTACACTTGCCAGTTGCAAGGTAGACAATACACAGACTGGCTCCTAAAGGAAGTGATAGAAATAGAGCTCCACCTCCCCCCCACATTAATTAGTCTATTTACAAGTATGGTTTAAAAAACTTTCTGTCAAAATCTAGAACTAATTTGGTTTGTGTTCTTTATACTTCTTCTCTTTAAAGGAAGATGAGTGTATACCATGTTGTGGTTCTGTTGTTTGAAGAACAGGACTGTTTAGTGTCGTTGTTCTGGCCACGACGTGTTTTTTAAACCATAACTGTAAATAGATTAATTATAATAATTTATAAATGTTTTAACAAATTGATGTATACTGCAGTAATTGTTAAAGGATAATACGAGGGTTAGAACTTTAATAGTGGCAACTATTTATCTACAATTGATACAAAACAGATGCATGTTTCGAAGTTTTACTGTCCTTCAGTGTAGTCACCAGCATTGTGTACAACCCGCTGCCAGTGATGTGGAAGTTGTAGGATACCATTAGCAGCGCCTGTTGTGTTGATAGTTTGAATGGAGCAGTCTACTGCCTTAAGAATCTCTGGAACAGTTCTGAAGCTAATGGCACGAAGTGGTTCCTTCATCGTAGGAATCAAGTAGAAGTCACAAGGGCTTAAGTCTGGGGAGTATGGTGGATGGTACAGCACTTCCCAGCCCCATCGATCAAATAAATCAGCCACAGCTTGCACTGCATGTGGCCGAGCATTGTCCTGCAAAAGATGGGTGGGTTCTGCAGAAAGTGTCGCTGCTTCTTTCTCAAAGCTGGTCGCAGGTTGTGTACCAAGAATAAAAAGTAATACTGTGCATTTTGATGGTCTGCTATCGGGGAATGGTATGAGTTAGGATAACACCATCACAGTCATACACGAGAATCACCGTAACTTTCACATTGCTGGGATTCTGATGAACTTTTGATTTTCGTGGTGACCCGTAATGAAGCCATTCGTTCGATTGGCGTTTCATTTGTGGCTCGTACGATTTGGCCCATGTCTCATCCAGCGTAATGATACAGCATAAGAAAGCCTCTCCTTCGTGCTTATAGCGCTCCAACTGGTTACGAGCAGTGTTGTATCGTAGCCATTTCTGCATTTCCGTCAAATCGCGCGGAACCCATCATGATGCAATTTTTCTCAAGCCCAGGCGTTCCTTCAGAATGTGAAGCACAGTTATATGCGCTAATCCTGTCTCTCGGGTCAGCTCATGAATTGTATGGCATTGATCACTCTCCAGTAACGCGGAAAGAGCATACATTTCTTCTTCACTGACACTAGGACGATCTGGCAGACGCATTTCTTGCCACATTTTGGCATCCCTCATTGAAGGCTTTTACCCACCTTGCCACTGTTCTGTGAGGCAATGCAGATTCCCTGCAAGCCTCTTTGAAGACCCTGATGACACTGTCGTGCTGTACAGCCTCTGGCACATTGAAGCTTTATCCAAATCCACTGTTTTCAAAAACATCGTGACAACACTACATTAGACCACCAGCTAACACGAGGCTCCATTGTTCTCGTCACTGCGCATGCTCGTGATGTGGGAAGGGAGAGTCCATTTTCTCTGAGGTAAGGTAGGTACATAACTAATGTGTGGTATAAACGACATTATTTGGTTCCATTGCATGGCGTCTCTAGAGCAGTGTTGCCACTATTAAAGTTCCAACCCTCAAATTTTATATTTATGACATGGTAATAGTAGTTTCCTTATGTACTGGTAATGTCCTTCTGAAGATGGTTGCTCTGACCAAAACATGTAAAGAATGAAAGATTAAAAAAATACATTTATCAATCACACTGGATGGTGTTAATAATCTTTTATATAATTACTAGTGTGATGGATCAGGATGAACCAAGTCATTAACAGCAGTTTGTGAACACATATAGTGAAACCTCGATTTTACATTTTTAATGGAATGCCCTAGAATGTAATTAAAATAAAGTGTAAAATCAATAAGGCAAATTCTGTTATGCCATTGATATGATATGACTGATGCATGTAATTAAAATAAAAAGATTTTTGGTACCTCTTACTGTAGGCAATGAGTCCTCTATTTTTTTTCAATGTTATACAGTTTTTTCTTCCTATAGCATTAGGCTTGGAAGTAATGTTATTACACCTACCAATGTCACAGATTACAAAAAGTTAAAATGAAGCTACTTTCTTAATTGCTATGGAATAAATTGCAACAATTATAACAAAGTATTAAAATTAAGTTGGACCAAGGTTCTCACAGTAGTTACTGTGAAGAGTACAAATGTCTGGGCTGAAATGCCATGAAGTTTGGTAGAAGTACGAGGGGGTACCCAAAAGAAACCGAACTTATTTTTTTTAAACTTATTTATTCAAATTTTAAGCACAAACCTTCAATCCCCTTCAAAGTACTCTCCACTTACACTAATACACTTGTCTAGTCTTTTATTCTATTTTTCAAAACATTGTCTAAATTCATCTTTTGAGATGCTTGACAGCGCCTCGTCATCTTTTCCTTCACCTCAGCAACATCAGCAAAACGCTTTCCTTTCATGTCTCTTTTCATTCGAGGAAACAAAAAAAAGTTTTGATCATTTCGGGACTCTTCTTTCAAAGCACAGCATGCTTCCACGCGACCTTGTTTTTGTTCAGCAGTCAGCAGTCGTGGCACGAATTTCGCAGCCACCCTTTTCATTCCCAAATCTTCTGTCAAAATTCGCTGAACTGAGCTCCAAGTCACTCCCGACAGCTCCACAATTTCTTCAATGGTCCGTCGTCGATCTTCCTTGATGATTTCACGAATTTTTTCAACATTTTCATGTGTTCGGGCCGTGGAAGGACGACCAGAACGAGGTTTGTCATCAATTGACATTTCACCATTTTTGAAATGGGAAAACCACTCAAACACTTGAGTTTTCCCCATAGCATCGACCTTGTACGCCGTTTTTAACATTTCAAGAGTTTCTATTCCCACTTTTCCCAAGCAAAAAGCAGAATTTCACCGCCGCACACTGTTCACGAAAATCAGCCATTGCAAAAACGACGATCACACAAAACAGTTGTCACTATAAACTCTGCCGAAACTAGTCCTTGCCTTCTGAAGCAATGGTAGTCGGCTTATCGACTCAGGAATGTTAGCTCTATGCGCTCATAGCGGCAAAACGCGGTACTACAAAAGCTCTGCCCACAAAAAAATTAGTTCGGTTTCTTTTGGGTACCCCATCGTACACTGACATTTCAGGGCAGATGAGTAAGCACAGCTAGAAACCAGTAGTACGCAGGCAGACTCTGCTTGCCATCTGCCTGGTTTACTCCTTTGCTTACTCTTCAACCCTGAAGATGGGGGCTATAGGTTCCTTCAAAACATCATCAACAAGTGGTAGGTAAAGCCTGCCTGCTTCCTGCTGGCTTCTTACTTGGTTTACTTTTCAATTCTGAAGATGGGTGTGATATATTCCTCTGAAATTCTGGTGGACTTCTACTGAACAGCATTTAAACCCAGAAGACTGTATTCTTTAATTAGGATTTTGCATTAAAGGTGTAATTTCTTGGACAGTTATTAATATCTGGGCATTGTGTTATGTATATTTACTTGTATTAGGATTAATTTACTATTTCAAGTCTCTATATATTCTTGGACCCATTTCTCTAGCCAATTTGCAACATGTATTTCTTATGGGAAGTATTCAAGACCCAATGTGTCAAACCAAGACAACTTACAAACATACAACAGAAGTTATATTGGTAATGTAACTGAACCTGGTCTCTGCACTTACAAGGGAAGAGTGACATTTTCAAGTAAATGAAGAGGGAGTGCCATGAATTCCTTCAACTCTTGCTCCACTGCATTTTGTAGCCCTTTCACTGACGCATCCAGGGTTGTCACACCATGCTCATCCAAAGCAAAGATCTTTGACAGCTTTGTGATCTCCTGTTTCAGTTTCTCTTCAGTTTCAGTTTGGCCTGCATGTGACCTTGTAAGCCACATATAATTAGTTCTGATATCTGCCTGCACCCTTTCCTGTAAAATATCACAACAAATCTTTCCTTAAACAACAGCTGTCTGTTGGACTCATTCTTCAAACAGTCTGAGGTCTCACTTATGTACACATTTTTATAGATCATATTACTAAAGATAATTTACTTCTACTGACAATAGGACAGATCATAATTCTTGGAATGCTATGTGCTGATGATTTAGCATTATCATTTCTTACAATTTATTGTCTAGAGAAAGTAGACTATGTAATAAAATATTGTAGAGACTGGAGTTTGAAATAGAACTTAAATACCCCTAAAATACTAACATTTAATAAGGGATGTAGGTTGAAGAAGCATGAGAGATGGGCTATGTATGATTAAACAACAGAAGCAACAATTTAAATAAATTATTTAGGAGTAACTTCAGGGAAACAGAAGAGGCTGAACTAACAAAAAGCAACTCCACTGTACTTCATTCCTGCCAGTACATAATATGGATAATATCCCTACAGACTCAACAGCATTTTAACTCTGCCAGTACATATATGCATATACACCTTCATTACTATTTTGGCTCTATGTGGATAACATTATTACATAATCACCATTGTGCCTGTCAATTCATATGTGGACAGTATTCAAATACAGTCATTAGTGGAACAACAAGGTTATGCAACCTGCTTCCAAGCAATGGTTCAGTAAACAGACTTCCACATAGGTGCAATGACGTCACACTGCAACAGTGGTAGCTATCATGTAACTGGCTTTCTATGGAATCTGTGCCATGACTGCTGCTATGCAATCGCTCAGTAAACACGTTCCAACAATATAGGCTGTTTTCTACACAGTCAGTGCAGAAGCTAGATAACGACAGTTACAGAGAGAACAGATGGCGGTATTTGGGAGTGTTTAAGTGACAGCCACGGGAAGTTCATTGTGCGAAGACTTGAATTGTGTGTAATACTTGGAGTGATTTGAAGCGCTAGTTTCTGTGTTGAGATCCTTTACCAATAGAGGACTAGTGTGCATGCAACAGTGGATTATGAAGTGTGTGGAGATTGGTGATAGTGCTGTATCTAAGTGTAACTAAGAGAGAGTGTGTAACCAAGTGCCAATAAATCCAATCATCTGAATTAGAACATGTCATTTCATCACATGTATCCCCCTACACGTGACAATACTTACAATTTCTTTGCTTATTCTTTTAGCTTCCTCTTCTTGCAAAGGCAGAATATAACTGTCTGAGAGATTTACATTTGCTTTTAAATTCTTTATCTCTTGCTGCAAGGCACTCTTAATGACATCCAAGTCTGTGAACTTAATTTGCAGTTCCAACCATTCTCTGACTTTGCCTGATTCTTGAACATCCTCACTAAGTTCACGTCCAAGCATCTTCTCCTGAAAATTGGCCATCAGAAAAAATACAAACTCATTTCTACTAATGAAAATATAAATACAAATCAAAATACAAGTCACAGTTTCACTTCTCACTTTTCCTTATACTGAGTATAAGTATTACAAATGTGCAGATTATAGAGCAAAAGTTTAAGGAAAAAACCAACTATACTTTCGCACTACAAGATGCATGCAGATTTTAAGTAACATTCTTGGGCTCGGGGGGTGATACTCCAGAACATATATAAGATAAAAGGTCTTTATGCTTAGACATTGCTTTATGAAGACATATGGTGACATGATGTAGGGATACACACATTTTAGATGCCAGTACTGCTCAGTTTCATACACAACATTTGTATTTAACATCTAGTATTCACTGGATATGAGTCAGTGAGCCTGAAACTGGTGCAAAATGGTGGTAAACTCCTGTCAGGAACTGAACCCTGGACATCTGGCATGTACAGTCACATGTACAGAAGTACCTAATTGTCTCATTAATGTTAAGCATAAGATATAATATGAAATTGCCTGAAAGATAGGAAATGACGAATAAAAATGTTTTCTGCTGTTCCCTATAGTATTTCCCACCCAAATGAGGTACTTAATTTAGTAGCATATTGCATTACTTGCTTAATATCAGTGTGTGTACGTCATTAAAGTAAAATGTGAAGTAATCAGATATTATACATTAGTTTTTTAATTAAGTTTAACTAATTTACATAATTAAGCACTGGCAATGACTGTATCACCAGCAGATTAATTATGGTAAATGCCGATATGGATTAGAAATTTCTTTCCCATATTTCAATGTATCATGCATAAATATGATAGAAGGCTGTGGTACAGCAATAAAGTTGCAATTGGATGAAATGCTAAGATAAGTTAACATACCCTTAGTACATTTACCTGTATGTGCTCTTGGTGATACAGGCCAGTTTCACAATACTGCATATATGAATTTAGGGATGCAAGTGGTTTAATAAAATTCTTTAGATGCTTTACATGCTTTCTGAAATAATACTGTGACATGACACCTAGAAGTCAAAACCTTCGAACCACGGAAATGCTGCAGAGGGGTGCAAACACAGGTGAGGTCAAGCACCAATCCCTGAGAGCCATGTACCCAAATGACAGTCAAAGAACTGCTGGGGGCAGTGCTTCCTCATCAGTCCTCAACAAAGTGATAACAGAGAGCATGAGCTAATAAAAGAAGTTAGTAATGTGTCTGTGAAGAACAAAAGAACAGAATATCAGAATGTGAAACGATAGTGAATATTTGCGAACTGTGCAATTATTTGTAAATCAGACAATTTTGTGTCCAATAAATCAAATTACCAATCTGAACGTCATGCATACTTACTACCACTTGAAACACATTTCTCAGTACCATCACACAATATTTCACTTCAGAAGAACTCCAATACATAGGTGCGGACAATAGCTTATACCTTGTTGTCCATAAGCATGTACTGAAAGCTCTCATACAGAGCAAAGCAATAACATTTTATATCCACAACAGTTTTCCCATTTGCTGTCTTCAGCACATCAAATTGTCCATGATATACAAGGTGGCTCAAACAACCTATGATATTGTAGCATGCAGATCTGTTGCTAGGCAATGACTGCAAGATGTGCAAATATACAACGGCCATTACTTAGTAATGCCTTCGCAAACAAACATGTTCCCATGGAAATGACTGAAATATAGCAATGAAGAGCATGCCAAGATGTTATAAGCAGGACAGCTTGGGATCTGCAGTAAGTCAGTGAAGAGAAGACTTGGAGGCTGGTGTGAGATGGCCGCTGAAGCAATGAGTCAGTTGTAGGATATTTGGCAGGTGGTATGGACATTAACGGAGGACATCATTACAATCTGCTACCAGGAAACGACTAGTGAAGACATAAAAGACATTATGTATGCTGCAGTAACAGTGATCGTTAGAGCGTGTAAACTAGTGAGGCTGTTATAGTTAAAAAAATTCGCTTAGTGGAGGGTGGAGTCCAACTGGGTCTGCTCGGCACAGTGGCCACTGATGGGCCTATTGTAGCCTGCCCCAGGTGATTATGATGCTGGAGAATTTGGTGGAATGAAGATTGGCAGGGGAAACCAAAGTACTCGGAGAAAACTCGCCCCAGCGCTACTTTGTCTACCACAAATCCCACTTGACCAGACTCGGGATTGAACCTGGGATGCTGCGGTGGGAAGCCAGCGACCAACCGCTTGAGTTATGGCGCGGACGAGGCTGTTATAGTTACTTGTAATTACGAGTTATGTGTATAAGTGCTCAATAAATTGAGTAACCAATCCAAACCCCATCTATCATCATTCCCTCAAGTGACAATATGTATAGGAAGATACATCAAGTCATTAATCAACTAATCAGTGCTTTTTCGGAGGGTTAGTTTAATGTTAGCACATGAACACTCACTTATGAATAGAGACTGTATTGTAGTAAATCTTGGTCTTGGCATCCATCATATCTATATGCAATCTCCATGTAACACACTTATCAAAGATTACAACGAGCTATTTTACATGACTGATGAAGAGGATATTCTGTCCATTCAATATAAGATGAGCCTCATGAGGTCTAAGTCATGAGAAAAGTAGATGGCCTGCGTCTGATCTTCATTGATTTTAATGTGATAGTACTCACGCCATGTCCCAGTAGCACTCAGACCTTGCTGCAGATTTCTGAGAACATAGCCCTCTTTTGGGTCTGTCGCATATATACAGGTGTCATCAGCAAAGAGACACCAGGTGTTTGGGGGAATATCATTTATATATATAATATACAATTTGGGGGGACAGGCTGGAACCTTGTGACAATATGCTTGTACACCCCTTGACATGGACATTGCACCTTCGACCGAGACTCTGAATTTTCTATGAGAAAGAAAAGAGCTAATAAGCTAAGCTAGACTAATAAAAATTTTTTAATTCTGATGGTTTATACAGCAAGCCAAGATGCTATGTTATATCAAAGGCTTTTTCGATATCCAGGAATACTGCATCCACGGACATGTTATAGTTGAAATTTAAAGTGACATGGTCTGCAGACCTCATACATGAAAGTGTTGTGCTGGATGGGCATGGAAACCAAACTGGCTTGCATTAATGTGCCTCTGGACTATTTTCAGGACACCTTTCTTGAATAGCTGTAGACAAGTGGCTAATTCAACATTAATTATGACAAAATTGTGGGTCCTTACTGCATTTCAGTAATGTTATAACTTCTGCTTCCTTTCAAGGTTTTGGAAAATGAGATAGCCGAATGCAATGATTAAATAAATGTGTCAGACATACTAGTGGTCTTTTTGGAAGATGTGTGAGACATTCATTTGGAGTACCATCAAGCCCACAAGCCTTTCTCAATTTAAATGAATTTATTAATTTATGTATGTCATAGGGTCTTACTTTTCCCTAGGGTGTGTTGCCTATAGATGAGAGCAGTGCTCGGACGCCAGTCTCCACCTGTTGTTCATAGTTTTCATCACATGGCTCATGAGATGTGAACCAGCTTCCTAAACAATCCACACTACTGTTGGCTTTCCTATTCAGACGATATGCTATTCCCAAAGGTCCACAAACTGGGGCTGGTACCTTTGGTCCATCCATTTTCACAATTGATTTTGCAATAGGCCACAAAGCTTGAAGTGTGACCTCACAGTTCCCTACTTTTGTTACCCACCATTTGGTGCCCTTCTATGTGCAATTTGTCTGACAGTTTTGGCAACCCAAATAACTGCTGTTTTACATACTGGTTCCTGGGTTACTTGCCATAGTTTCCTAAACATACATTTACGTTTCAGCATTCTCCAGACCAGTTAGGTTGTTATTTAGGTCCAAAAGTGTAAGTTTACTTGCCGACAGCCGACATACAGAAGCTATAGAAACATGAAGTCAATAACCACTTTATCGGTTTCTTCCCCTGGAGCTAATTTGGATTCTAGGTGAAATCAACTTAGAGGTCAAGCTTTGACTGCTCCCCATCTATGAATCTGTCAACCGAGACCAAAATATTCTTAGTTATAACATGATACAGTAAATACGAGGACGAGTCAAATGAAAACCTTAAATTTGTAATAAAAAATCGAAATTTCGCGCCATTATCCTGTAAGTGTGCTATAAACAGCGTGCAGAAAGGCCTGTAGGTTGCAGCATAGTGCAGATGCACGAACACCGTCACAGCACCAGTATAAGATGGTTGCCCCACTTGAGACTTGCACCAGGGAAGAACAGCGTTCTCTTATTCAGTTTTTGTGTAGTGAAGGTGTGAAACCTATTGAAATTTATCGAAGAATGAAGTTTCAGTATGGTGATGCTGACCACGGATCAGATGGAATGTTGGATGATGGTCGCTGGTGATCTGTTTGACAAAAGTACGCAGGACCCGAAGTTTCTCAAAAAGATCACTGGTGTTCGCCTACGACCCAGAGACAAAGATGCAGTCATCAGAGTGGTAAACAGCATCGTCTCCCCGGCCAAAAAACCACGCCTCGTCAGATTCAAAGACAAAGTGATGATCATTGCATTCTTTGACATTGACAGTTTTGTGCACCATGAGTTCGTACCGCCTGGACAGACTGTTACTGGCCATTTCTACGTGCTAGTTTTGCAGAGGTTGCACAATGTGATTCAGAGGAAGCAGCATGACAAGTGGCATCACGATAATGCACTGAGCCACACATCGCTTGTTGTGCAGCAATTCCTGTCATCAATCAACCACCGTACTCTCTGGATCTCACTCCGAGTGACTTTTGGCTGTTCCCTACTTTGAAAATGGACCTAAGGGGACATGTTTCGCAATATTGGAGGACATCAAATCAAATGCGACGGCTGAGCTCTGGAAGATTCCAAAAGACGCCTTCCACCTCTGCTTCCAACAATGGCAGGATTGATGGAGCAAGTGTGTGCGCATCACAAGGGTCCTACTTTGAATGTGATTAAGTAAGCATTGCCATATGTCATGCCATTAGAGTGCTATACAACCATTCTGGGAACTTTTTGACTGCCCCTCATATATGCAATAAATTCAGCAGTTTCTTACCTGAACTGGTGGAAACTACGCTATCCCAAAATGGATGTTTAGCATTAGATCTCATGCCAGTGGCAACTTGTGTCTAAAGTTTGAGAGCTCAGTGACGTCAGCATCATTTTAGGTATGGCGTGGTGATTTAACAGACTGCTGGAAGTGCACTTCACTATTACCAATTGGTATGATGCAAACACCTGTGGCTTCTACTGAAACAAGGGGTTTGTACTGTTACCACGGAAGCGTTTATCAAGCCGTTACCGTGAAATGGACGATTTATTCTGGCTCTAAGTTGTCATGTCACAATATATACATATTTTATGTATGGTCATTCATAGTGACTTTTGCCTTGCATGTCCTTGATGTTCAGAACCATGTGAACATTCATGATTTTAGTAAAGCACTTTCTCCAAAAGTGTGTCATTTTTCAGAAGCTATTTTAACAAGCTTAAAAACAAAATCTGATGCAAACTCTTTATTCTGTTTAATCGCCCATTTAAAAAAACTACTAAACAAGTACATGTTTTCATTAAACAGTTTCACATATTTGGCTGATGAAACATCTGCAATTTGTAGCTACCTGCAACATTTCTGCAGTCCTGTCAAGAAGTGTGTCACACTCACTGTTACTTGAATTTATCTTGTGCTGAAGACTATGATGGGCTGCAAATAACTCCAGATGTGACTTCATGAATTTCTTCATTTCTGAGTCAATACATTCCTTCACAGATCTGACAAAGAAGAAGCATACTTACACAAATGGGCCATAAAAACAAAATGCAATGAAAAGCATGCTTAACAGAGCCAACAATATTGTGACATGACAGCTGAAAGCAGGAGTACTTTAACAAGAAATGCCATCCCTTGCTTGGCAACGGCAAGTAAACATGTTTCCATGGCAACCACAACATGCTCAAGTGTCAGCAATAACTAGGACATCACTAAGCAACATACTGCTTTACATGTCACTTAATATTTTAGGAATTCTTGGAAGCGATATTTTCTATGTGGCCAGTAATGAGGTTATATAAAGAGGACACCAGCTGTGTAGCTAAAGGGGGGGGGGGTCTGGTCATAAGCCACCAGAGGCTTGGCACCAAGATACTCTGAGATGGCAGTTTATCATGTGTCATGGATCAGAAGTCACCAGGCACGGTTATCACACTGGAATCTTGAGCTGCATTTTTAGACACTATTACAAAGCAAACAACAAGTGAAGACTTAGTGCTAGCAGTAGTGATTTCTAGAGTGTGTAGATTGGTGAAAGCAATATAATTATTTGCAGTTACAAGTTATAAGCATTTAAGAAACCCAATTATCAAGCCAAACCCCATATCTAGTTACAAACATGAGATAACATGTCAGAAGTAGAACTGGGTTGTTTGGATTGGATTAATTGAATTATTCAATTGAAGACCGCATTGGATACTTGCCAGAAAGCCTGATGGTTGAAATCAGAAATTTGACAGATGGTGGAAGCCAGCACTTCAGGGGGGGGAGAAGAAGCCAAGACAGAGGTCTGGTTCGAAAAGGTGAAGACCGATTACGAACGTTAAGAGTCACAGATAGAGGTGCATCTAGAAAAGATGAAGGCCAATCAAGAAGAGACAGAGGCTGTGGTGAAGCACTATAACTGGGCACCAAGTGTAAGAGACATGCACCTGGTTGCCCACCTGAGGCTATGGGCTTCCAATGTTCTACATGGAGCCCCTAAAGGAGCAACGTATAAAGAAACTACCAGGGCACTTGATGACAGATTTGGGAACCAGTACCTGGCCACAGTGTACGGCAATCAGCTGAGAACTAATAACCAGAACAGTGGTGAGTTCCCACAGGAATTTGCAGCCATCATCGAACAGCCGACCCACCATGCCCTTCCTATACTACACAACATGTTCATAGGGGAGCAGGCAGGGCATTCGTCGATGGCCTAAGGGAACAAAGCATCAAACAGTGGCTACTTCTGGGAGGTGACCCTAAGGCTGGAGGTCACAAAGCCAGCAGTCAGGTCCCCTTACCAGGCACTGGAAAACGTGTGACAGGACACTGCAGAGGAGCCATGCCCTGCCCCAAAATGAAAGAAGAGACTACCGACAACTTATGTTAGAGAACTGGTCACTTTCGAAAGTTCTGTTCCCACATACCAGAAGCAGACACAACACGGCCAGCACAACACTGTGGTGCCATTCATGAGGATGATCAGAGATGTCCCCTCAGAAGAGAATGGTGATATGGGTGTAGGCTGCTCAGAATAAGAAGCATTAAGGAGGGAGCAATGTGATATGACGGCTGAAAGCTGAAATAGTGATCACAGAAAAGATATTCATTGTTAGGTAAAGGCCAGTAAACATATTTCTACAGCAACCAAAACATGCTCTTGTGTCAACAATACATGGGCCATCGCAGGCAACAGCCCTCTCAACACATCACTCAACAAAGGGATTCTTGGAAGTGATAGTTTCTATGCAGTTTTTGCCAAGGTTATACAATGAGGACATCAGCTGAGTCAACAGTCAGAGTCGGCTGCCACCAGACCAGTCTTAAGCTGCACTGTTAGATGCCGTCACAAAGCAAGGACTAGTGAAGACTTAGTGCTTGCAGTCATGATTTGTAGAGTGTGTAGATTAGTAAAAAGTGTTATAATTATTTGTAGTTATGAGATATAAGCATCCATTAAGTAATTCAATGGAAGATATAATCCTTCATATGAAAAAGAAAAAAATCTGTGAAGAGGCAACTTTAATATTACTGCCTTCTGGGATGCGATGCCATGTAGTCTAGTTCAATGGTATCTACACCCTCAAGATGGAAGCAGCCGGTTCCTCTAAAATGTTGGTATTTTCTACCAGACTATACTGCATCACATCTCATAAAACCATAATCTTAACCACTGTGAGAATCTCAAATCTCACACACTATAACCTTACATATCTGAATTGTTCACAACACTGAAATCAGTCCAGATATATATATATATATATATATCACACTGTCTGGCAACAGACATAACTGTATCCAACACCATAGTAGAGACTGAGTAGTCACTACTCAGTCAATACAAATTAGCGTCAACTTTTGTTCACAGGCTTACAAAGTAAGGCAGGGAAATTTATGGCTGTGATGGGGGAGGGATTGGCATTTTTGTTGTCACTTGTTGGCTTTCCTACTCAGTCAGCTGCAGTAAATTACCTTGTTACACAAGACACTGAAATGTTTCCTATCACTTTATAGATATTCCCACACTTTCTAACCTGATTCCAGCTCACACATTGTAGTTGTTCTCTGGATGCACAGTGCATTTCAAGTTTCACTAAGTTCTTCACCTATGTGTGGACTGGTTAGACACAGTACCTTTCAAGTTTCATTAAGTTCTCCTGTGTGTGGACTGGTTAGACAAACTCGATTTTGTAAAATATTCCCACAAGGAAACTTCATACAGAGTAACATCAGGACAATTCAGTGGCCATAAAGCATGACATAAAATGCATTCACCAAACATTCTGTTCAAGTTCTGCATGGACTATTCTGCAGTATGGACTGCTGCAAAAATCCTGTCAGAAATATCCATAAGTGTTTCTTCAATTCTCTGTTGTCTGAAAAATGATCGGAGTCTGCCTTACACACCTATCAGAATCAAATGTTTGTGCATAAAACGCTGGGATAATAGTGTTTCTTGCATTCTGGGCACACCAAACACATGGAGGAAAACACTGATTAGAAGAAATGGATTTTCTGTACTCTGTATCTGTTGTTTTATTATATAATTTCTTTATTAAAACTGTCACAACACAACTATATTAAGGTCAGTGCTAAAAAATCGTTTTATGTTCAAACCCATTCAAATAAAAACACATCTTGTCTGAAAAAATACATGACTGGATAAAGAACTGACCAAAAAAGAACACCATTCTGAATAGTGTTTCTGTGGGGAACCTGAGCCCTGAGAAACTTTATTCTGAATTTTCTCTAACATTTCCAATTGGATTTAAACTTCACACAAGACACATATAAAGGTACCCCAAGCTTTAACGTAATCTTATCCATGTGTTGCATAAAGAGAACCTTGCACAACAGAGGGTCATACATCAATATGTAAGTCACTGCAGCTGACATGAGAAAAGCTGGGAAGTGATGCAGAAAATACACAAGTTATCACACAGCCTCCTGGTAATGCATGACACTGCTACAGAGCAGAGGTTTCATGTGGAATATGCACCTCCACACTTAATGCCTAAATTCAACAAATGTCCATGTTAATTTGCTGCTTCTCCCATACAGTGAGTTCTGAAGTGGCTGAAGGTCTTACTGCAAAGATTATGTGGTCATATGTCAAAATTAGTTTGCATCAATTATGAGAAATTAAGTTTCTAATAATAAACAAATTCATTACAGCCGCCCCTAAAAATGTTACATACACAGTCATAACACTTACTGCAGATGCTCAGACTCCTTCAAATCTCTCTGAGTTAGGCTATGCAGCTCCTTGTTCAGACAATCTATGGAATGCAGTAATGTATGCCAGATATTCATTATGGGAATGTCCTTCATCTGACAATGCACAAATTCCAACACAGATTTTTTTCTTCCATGTAAAATTTCCAAATCCAAATCTTTCATCTTGTATAGTTTGTGAAGCTCTACAATCTGTGCATTACATTCACAGACTGCATTCTGCAAAAGAAATAAATTCATCATTGTTCATAATTACAGACATGAACAATGGAAGGACTAAACTTTGAACTTAAACTGCAATTTCAATTCTTAACATAGATAGCATTGTGGGCACTGAAGTTTTTCATCAATAAGAACCATGTCAAGGTGAATCTCTCAAAAATACAGCAACATAAATTTTTAATTTAAATTTTAAATTAAAACGTTTATCTCATTTATGACATGTTCTATATCCATTTTTGGATCTCTTGAAGTTACAATAAATACAAATACAAATACAGATTTATTACTAGAGATGTTATCTGAAATGCACACTGATGAGGTGAATATGGAAAGAAAAATTCATCTGAACAAAGAAACACTTTATACATCTGCCTGAGTAGGTCCTATAGTGTTAACATATTAAAATCATGTAACGCTTATCAAATCTCGACCAGGATATAAGCTATTCTCAGCGAAGTTGTTTGCTACTTACCTCAGTCCCTCCAGTGAAGTGCTAGGATTATATCTCAAATTAGGTTGTGTCCACTTTGTGGCTCATGAGTGGTTGAGTAATGCAGTCCCTAAGGACTCAGACATAAGAAAGACTATGCTGGCTAGGGCCAGCAGCACATACAAAAGACAGACCCGTCCTCTCGTCAGACAGGGCACCCCACAAAAACAAGACTGTAACTGTCAAACAGTAATAAATATCTGGTCACGAGATACAGATGGGGCTCAACACCAAGACTTACTTATTGACTGACCATCAGCCAGAGTGTGACTTTGACAGAGAGTCTTGAGACGGCAGTGAGAAGAGTAGGAGGTCAGTGTGAGATGGCTGTCAGCATGGGAATTAGTAATGAGTTAGTTGTGAGATAGTTGCCAGCCAGTAAGGATGTGAACACAGAAGATGAGGTAGCTACGATGTTGTAAGCCATTACTGAGAAACAACCAGTGAAGATACGGCAGACTGAAAAGACTTAGTGCAGGCTGTAGTCAATTGTAGAGTGTGAATTAGTGATAATGCTATAGTTACGTGCAGTTATGATATGTAAGTGCTCAACAAATCCAATTAACAATCCATATCCCATCTATAATCACTCACACATGTGACAATATATTAGTGGCTCATATTAAATGGTAAATGTTTCTTTAAAATTGGAGACATTTCAAATTACTATGTCAAAATGTGTACAAAGCATCCAGAGTTTTACACTTCATAAAAAGAAAATGGGCATCTATTGTAGTCTTCCTGAAACTTGTATATCACTTACTCGACAATTTTCTGTATGCTTGTTGTAAGAAGAATGTACATCACCGGAACCACTTTCTTTTGGTTCTTGAAAGAAGTTTGCAACCTCGCATAATTCTTCATATCTTACTGCATCCTTCTCAAGATCTTGCCTCTTATAACATAATATTAACTTTTTTGTATGCAGATCTCTTGTTCTCTGTTTTATAGCTTGCAGCTCACAGTCTGCAACAGAAACAAGAAGTTAACATATCAAGATGATCAACTCTAACAAAACTGTCTGCAAAAGATATTCAATCAAAATCAAACAAGGCATTGGTTCTAGTTAGTTAGTTAGTTATTAGAGAGGGTGAGTTTCCCCATGCACTTAGACCTGTAGTGGTCCATTGTGCTTCCCTCTATGATTTCTACCAGCCTCTATATCCTGCCGGTATTGGTGCTTACCATCAGCCCCGCCCAGCCAGCGAGAGCGGCTCTACTGGCTGAGAGGTATCTATAATGCTTCCCCCATCTACTGGAGGTATTAGTGACTGCTGTCGGGCGGCAAATGTCCGCAATTTTGCTCAGTAACCTCCTTTGGAGGTATGAGGTTTTTTTACGTGCCGTAAAGCTACGACACGGGACCCACAGCTTAAAGTCCCTCCCGGAGGACTTGTTCCCTGAATTTTTCCGCCCTTAAAAATTCGACGACCTCCGCCGGTTATTTGAACCCGCGTACTAAGAGTCATGAGGTGGGAACGTTACCTCTAGACTACGGAGGCCACTAGGCATTGGTTCTATCTAAAAGAGTTGTCAAGGGTTAAGAGTACATTTGTTTATTAATGAAAGAACACAGACTTCTAAGAATACCATACCGTCCATATGGGTTCTGCTTGTCAATTATTTAATTTCTTCACCAATTTTCACAGAACTTGGTATAAATATTATTCCATAGACAGCCATTCCTATCATACTTTTTAAAATGCTACATTCATTACTAATAACACGATCTTGCAACAACACTAACGTCACTGAAAACATGGCCCTGCAATGATGTAGAGCAACAGATCTTTAAAAATTATCCAGTCTTTATTAAGGTAAAATTTGTACAGACTGTAAAACAAAAAACTGATGGCTGAAAGAAATCTTAGCTTTTGGTTTGAAGGTGATAACTATTGAACAATTGGACCTAGGCATGTGAAATCTAGTGCAGAGTAACATTTTTAGGCTACCCGTTCTGTGAAGAATGTTTTTTACATATATTACATTACATTGTGTAACACCGTGTCTGTGTTATGTCAGAGAAAGTCCCCCCTTTTACTACCTTCCCCCTTCCACTGTTCCACTTCCTGGTTCCAGATGGCTGAGGTCCAGCATGAGTGATCCATTCTGTTGTGGGAGCTTGAACTGTTCAGTAGATTCACTCTTCTCCTGGTCTGTACGATTTTGATTGGTTGATTGCCGGAGACCTATTACCTCCATGGACTTACATTGTATTCGCATTTAGAATTTAATATATATATTGTCATTTGATATATTTGTTATAGTGGCTTTGAGTTGGTACGTCCTACCCAAAAACCAAATTTCGGTCTTCAAGACCTTTTCACGTTTCAATTGCATTGTATTCCATGGTTCCAAAGTTAATCAAAATGACTGTAGGATGTGGAATACGTCGTATAAATACAAAACATGTGTACAGTCCCAATGGAGTTCTCACACAAGAGAAACCAAGAATATAGTGACTACATACAAGGCTATATAAAGATACATAAGTTATTTTCTAGACAATAGGTATTCATCAACAGAGTAGAATGAATGTGTATTTAAGTATCATTTCAGTGCTATTTTAAATCATGCCTTTTCATTCATAAGACCTTTGAGATCAGATGGTACATTAAAAATGTTGATCCCAGCATAATATGCACTTTTCTGAAAGCATGACAGGTTAGCACCTGGTTTATGAAGACAGTGTTTGTGTCTTGTGTTAACACTGTGTACATCCACATTCACCTTAAAATGTTCTTCATTATTTGTAATGAAGTTTATCAATTAATATATATATTCACAAGGCAAAGTTAAGACTGTAGCCTCTTAAATAAACCTCTACGGGAATTATGGGATTTGACACCAATCATGATTCTAACAATTTTCTTTTGCAATGTAAATACCTTTTTACTGTTAGATGAATTACCTCAGAAAATTATTCCATACTTCATTAAAGAGTGAACATAAGCAAAATAGACTGATTTGAGAGTGTCAGTTTTACTAATATGTAATAGGAATCTGACTGCATAACATGCTCTACTTAGCTTTGGAATCAACTGATCAATATGGTTTTTCCAGTTTAAATGATTATCAATTTGCAAGCCAAGGAATTTTGTGTTTACTCCCTCTTCTACATATTTATCATTATATCCTATATTTAATGGATACTGTGGTGAGTTTTTTGTTATAAATTTTATTACATTTGTTTTTTCTAGGTTCAGGGACAGCTTATTTGCAGAAAACCATTTACTCATTTGCGAAAGAACCTTGCTCGATAACATGCAGAAATCACGTAAATTTTTACCACACATTATAACACTAGTGTCATCTGCAAATATTATAGGTGCTGTGTAGGAGGGAGGTCATTTATATAAATTATGAAAAGCAAAGGGCCCAAAATTGACCCCTGTGGAACTCCACAGTAATCTAAATCTAATTGTGTAATCTAAATTCTCCAGTTTGAGTAGGTACTTTTAATTGAATTTGACGATTTCATTTCAATCTTTTGTTTTCTGTTAGGTAGGATCTGAACCAACTTAACGTTGTTCCTTGAATGCCAAAAAATATAACTTAGTTAATAAAATTTCATGATTTACAGTCAAAAGCCCTTGCCAAGTCACAGAATATTCCACTAACATGCATTTTTTGTTAATAGATTTTAACAAACTGTCTGTTAACTTAAAGGCTACATTTTCAATGGAAATTCCTTTCCTAAAGCCAAACTGTTCTGGGAATAGCATATTGTTACTCTGAAAATAATGGTTTAACCTGTTGTGCATAACTTTATCAAGTACTTTAGAGAAAGTAGTTAGCAGTGAAACTGGCCTGTAGTTTGACATACTAGTCTTGTCCCCTTTTTTATATAGTGGTCTTACTACTGAAATCTTAAAGACGATCAGGAAAGTTCCCTGTGGATAGTGCGTGATTACAGATGTGATTTAATGGGCTACTGATTAGAGCTGCACAGACTTTTAAAATTTTACTTCTTATTCCATCATAACCTGAAGAGTTTTTTGTTTTGAGGGAATGTATTATAATTTTTATTTCAGTTTCAGTGGTTGGAATGGTTTTAATACCAGGGAATTTTCTAGGAAATGCTTCTCTTAAAAATGAAATGACATTATCTCCCACTTCTTGATGCAAGTTTAGATTTTCTGTAATTGTTAGGAAAAAAGTATTGAAGGCATCTGCAATTTCTCCTGGGTCCTCAACTTTTTCATCATTTATAAGGAGAGATGGTATCTGTTCAGTCAGATGTGATTTTCCTGTTTCATGTTTTATTATATTTCAGGTTGTTTTTATCTGATTATTCGATGTTGCTATAAGCTTACAGTAATGCTGCCTTTTAGCCTCTTTTATAACTCTACTCAGGATTTTGCTATACCTCATGTAGGGATTATTACTGCTCCTGCTGTCTATATACAGACACCTTTTATGTTTACAAGATATTTTTATTCCTTGTGTAATCCAGTGGTTTTTTATTCTACTTACACATTTATTCTGCATAGGAAAACTGGCTTCAAAGATATGTAGAAAAATATATAAAAAAGGAGTTAAACTTATAATTTTCTATCCTTATTTTTGAAAACAGGTTCCCATGTATCATTTTCTAATAGATGTTGAAACTCAGCAATGGTTTCACTATTTATTTTTCTGGTTCTCTGTTTCAAGGGTGTTGAATTTACTTCCGCAATAATATTATTAACTGTAAGAAATTGATAATCATGGTCAAAGAGGCCATTGACTATAGGAGATGTACAAGAAGAGCTTAACCTTGCATTATATAAAAAGATATTATCAATGGCGGTGTTTGAGGAATTTTGAACTCTTGTTGCGAAATTCACTGTGTGTGACAGACTGTATGTCCTTATTAAAAAGTTTACTTGTTTTTTCTGACTGCTTTCATTTAAATGGTTTATGTTTATGTCTCCATAGATGATTATAAACTCAGACTCTGGATTGTACAGATATTTTAAAGTTGCATCTAGTCTCCTTAGAAATTCATTAACCTCTCCTGAAGGGGCTCTGTACAAGCATAATATAATTAGGGGAGATGTTTTAGTTACTAGAAGTATTGCACAGATTTCAAAGTCTTGCTCCTTACAGTGATGAGAAATATCAATTTTACTGAAATGTAGATATCTTAACAAAAATACACACTCCTTCCCTCTGTAGGCTCTTTCAGCAAAAACTTGAGCCTAACAGGTAACCATTCATTGAGAGCAGCAATTCCTGTTCAACCATGTGATGTTCACTTATAATATGTGAGGGTTTATGTTGTCTATTTCAAAAGAGTGTAGTAATTCATCACTTTTGCTTCTCAAGCCTCTGATATTTTGGTGAAAGATATTTATTGAATTTAATGTTTCTGTATTTTGTCCGTGAATTTCCAAGACTGCTGGACTGCATTTAACATACATTAGGCATCTTGGTGCTTTTGAATTTAATCTAAAAAAGGAGACGCCCTAGCATTGGTTATAACAGGAATACCGCTTATACCTGACCCACAACTACCAACAACCCTCTCAGCAATAAGCTGCGTGAGCCTCTTCTTGCCATAAGAGCTCAGGTGCAGGCTATGCACTGTGTAATCTTCCCTCTCAATTCATGATGTGTCAATGACACCAGTGTGAGACATGTCAATGACCCACCAGGGCCCGATCAAGCCTTAGATTCATGCTCCTGACCCTCCCATTCATCCATGGCTTGTCATGCCTCTCAAAGAGGCTGACAAATCCCACATTGGTGTTTGACGTCCTCTCTGCAATGTAGTTGAGATCATTTTCAATTGAATAATGATAGTTTCTATCCAGGCTACTTCCTGGCCCTCCCACTATAATAATGATCTTGCTTGGTAAGGCCTTTACCAAGCTTCCCTATATACTCAACAACCTTTGCAAGAGGAGCATTTGGTTTGAAAATGCTACATATGGAAAATTTAGTTTCCAGATTTTCTTGAAGCATGGGGCCAGTTTCCCTACCATGACTACTTCATAGTAATTTTTATTTTATTTTATTTTTAGTAATTCTTATTTTTATTTTTCTCTGTCTTCACTGTGACAGATTTTAGTTCCTTGCCTTTATGCTTCAACAAAACTGGGGTTTGCCGACCCAGTTCCAGTGCATCTGTCTCTCACACTGAATTTATGGTTCAGCTGAACTTGACTAGCATCATTTGCAAAGAACCTATGGAATCTGGAATTGGATTTTTTTTTTAATTTCCTGAATTATCCTGCTGCATGAAGTTACTGCTGACATTCCCTCCTTTCAGCTTACCATTTTCTTCTCTAGCTGCCTTTAATTCTTTTTCCAGGTGCCTGATTCTCTCCTCCTGTTGCTTCACATATTTCTGGTACTTACATGGGATACAATACAATGGCTTGCTCCTGTCTGGTGTGCCGGGGGTAGTGAGTGCACAGTTTAAGTGGAAGCAGTAGCCACAGTCTGTACAAATTAGGCCATTAATGACCCATCTCCGACAAGCTCTGCATTTACCAGAAAGGCTATTTGTACCAGACATCATTATAGCTATGAATACTAATAATATATTCCTTATTTGCTAGATGCTACTAATGAAACTTCAAAACCAGAAATAGAATAAATTCTTTTAGGGTGACTCACTGTACAGATTCGATTGTCAGGAGTTAAAATCTCAAATTCCTGTGCACTTCTCTTATATATCACCAAATGAATACAGTAACAGATTATCTGACTAATAATTTTGTTACTTATATTCAACACTTTGGGGAAAAAGAAACAAAGAGAAAAAACACTATTCTGATGCATTTCACTCGAAATAACTTTCTGATGCACTTCACTGTGAAATCGGTAGTACACTTACAATTCCAGTAATTAATAATCCAGATTCGATAAACATCAATACACTCACATAAATAACAAACTAGAATACTATATTACAATGACGCAGAATTTTTACAGAAACTCACAGTTTCAGGGTCTGTAAGTGTAACATGTAGGCCAATATGGCAGACTATTATGTGGCAATGCAACAGATCCGCTGGTATAATTGAATTCCCTTTTTTCTAAACAAAATCCTTATTATGTACAAAGAAATGAATATTCTTATTTATGATAGCAGTCGTATAATTTGTACTACATGTTTAAGGTCTATTTAAAACATTACTCATGAAGTCCCTGTAAGCTGCATAAGATCTAAGAATTTCACGGCAGTGAAGACTCATACAGCGGTCTTCTGGCTTATGACACCATGTTGTAGTCTGGTAGATGGTTACAAATGTTTCAAAGTACTAGACTGCCTCCACTTCCAGGGTTGAAGATAGAGGCAGGATGGTCCTTGTAAATTATGAATTATAAGGTAAGCATACAAGAAACAAATATAGAGAACATATGACATAACATATATTCCAACTATCTGCTTTTATGGATGAGTATTCTTTTCAGCTGTCAATAGATTATAAACAAAATTTGTGAATGCTAATAATGTATTACTTACTCAAAACTTTTAATCTTTGATGAGCCAGCTCAAAATCATGTTCCCTCATATGTATTTCCTCTTCTTTTGCTGCAAGCATTTGTCTTTGTTCTGCTTTCTGTGACATCTTTAAAGAAATTAAACATTATTATCAGTGTGTTACTGAGAAAAAGCAAAAGAATGTTACATTAAATTCAGAAGTAAATGAATCTAAGAAGTAACTCCATGTAAGAAAATATTATGAGTATTTCTACTTTAAATGTTGCGAATTATCTCTCTACTTACTCTTTTTAAAGCCAAGTTCTTTCGTATATGGTCCACTTCATGACTAGGTCGTATTTCTCTCATGACACGTTCAAACACTGCCTTTCTTTCATTGTTACAAAGTCTGAGAGGGAAGATTAATTTGTCAGAAAAGAAATAAGGTAAATGCTCCATAATTTCTGATCAAAACAAAAGAGCCCATAAATCATGCATTTTGCACTGCCATCACACATTTATTAGAGATATATTTAGGCAAAGTCAATTTATAAACCGGCAATAAAACACAATTTTTACTTACGAGTACAAGGGTACATGGTAGTGTAGTTGGTTGAGGCACTATGCTACAAGCTGGAAGGTCAGAGGATTGAATCCCAATGACATCATTGGATTTTTCAATTTACCTAATCCTTCCAGCCACACTATGACTCTGGGGTCAACTCAACCTCTTAACAGAATTGAGTACTGGGAATTTTCCTGGGGGGGTAAAAAGGCGGCCAGCATGTAAGGCTGACAACCTTACCGCCCTCTATGAGCCAACTGTCTAGAAGATGTGGGAGCCTCGACCTCTTACACCCCTATGGGCCTTGAGGGCTTGTTACTTATGAGTTAGCATGCTAGACTTGTGCATATATAGTCAATGGATATCTAAATACTGCCATGTGTTTGTGACTACACACAAGGTTTGGATTGACAATTGAGTTTATTGAACATCTATAACTTGTAATTGCAATTTATTATAACAGTCACACTAATTTACACATTCTACGAATAACTACAACTACAGTGTGCATAGTCTCCTGTTGGTCACTAGTCATTACTAGGTAGTGGATGCTAACTGTGAAACTCAAGACTGCTACCTGTCAACTCACTGGCTTCTGTCTGGTCCTCATTATATTACCTCAGTATGGACATAGAAAACACCGTGTCCAACAGTTCTCCCAGTACAGAGTGCGAAGACAAATTTGGACCAAAAAAAGGATAAAATGGAATGGGGTTTGAGAAAACTGCATAATGAATATCTTCATAATGTATGCTCTTTGCCATTATAATTAGAATGATGGTGTCACGGAGGATGCCATGGGCAGCGCATGTAGCATGCATACTGGAGAAGAGAAATACATGTAGGATAGAGAGTACTGGAGGGTTCTTATTAACATGGTAATGAACCTTCAGGATCCATAGAATGTTTGGAAATTCTTGAGAAGCTGAGCTACTTGCAGTTTCTCAAGGACGCAGTTCCATGTGTTAGTTTCGTCTGAGGCGTCCTTGATGTGAATAAAACAGTCTGAAGTCCCAAACCAAACAGAGAAAAAGTGCCGCAATAAGCACAATAAATTCTCCTTTTGACATATTGTATCATATGTTTTACTAACTGACTGTTTATTTAAAACAAATTCAGGATCTTTGTTTTGGGCCCATTTGTTGACATCTCTCATAAAAAACCTTCACTGCTCCCTGGATGGTCAATGGCTCCCACTTTGAGAAACTGATATTGGGTAAAACTAGTCCACAAGGACTACTACGTTATCATGAAGAGGAAGTGTGTGCGATCTAGTGACCCAGACAGCTGCGCTCGCTGGCAGTTGTGTAAGCTCCTGGTAGGGCCACCTATGCTAGACAGGTCAAAGGGTAGAGGACAGAGGAAGTGTAGTCCCTGGTCCTCCAGGTTTGGGGTTGGGAGCATGGCTAATGACCCCACCTGATAAGAACATACTGTTACAAAATCATAAACGCCAAGATACAAGCAGAGATGTAACGCCCGTAAAGAACAAGTAAAACTATTTAACACTGGCACATCACAAAATTCTGTCCACTCCTGACACACTCTCAAGTTTGTGTGAACATTTTCTTCCACTTATTTTAATAACCATAGGATTTGTTATAGAAAACGTGAATGTTTAACCACGGTGAATAATATCAATATATTTTGATCCACAGGATAAAATAATAATGAAAATGAAATGAAATTTCGATTCAAAATGCGTCAGAGAAACCACGCCTTAGATTACCAACCACTAGCAAAGTTACCCTACATAATTCAATTTTAATATTACATAATAACTGCACATCTATATTTGTCTCACATAACTCACAAATACTCACTTCCTGAAAACTTCCGATGAGTTTCTTCCAGGAATAATACCCATTGCTCTTGTCCAAATTTGCATTTCTGTTTCAAGTCTACTTGCCCCCTTTCTAGACATTTCAACAAACACGGGGAAGGTAACGGGTACAGAAATTAAATATACTCAGGCACTAATCGGATACTACGATACCGCTGATCTCATATTTCCCAAAGTAAGGAAAATGAAAGGGACAAACACTTTCCTTGGAATTACATCTAATCCACAAATTTTAAATTGTCAAGACCTGCTTTGTAATTGGTTCAAATCAAATTAGCATGCTTTATTGTGATTGGCTCAGATGGGAATTACACCTTGCAAAGATTCCCGTGCGCTTGGTTCAAGTAACTCTATTGGCCGCAATTTAGATGCTACATCACCCTCAAAGATACAGAGAGCCTGAAGGAGCAATCACATACATTTAACGACAGAAATTCGCGGGAAATTTTAGCCCCACCATATTGGCCAAAACATTCCCCACGGAATAAAGACTCAATTCAACATGGCTACCAACAGCTATATGAGTACCTCCATGGGATTTTTATTTCTTCCACGTTTATTACCTTTATTACAGAGTCTGCTATAAGGGCGAGAGCGCACCAAGGAAACTGGTAACCGTAAAGAAAACGCAATTTCCGAGAAAAATCGTCGATTTCAAACAGGCAACTGGTTTCCAGATTAGCAGTTGCACACTGAGGAAACTCATGTTTGATTAGTTGCTAATATTATCTTAAGTGGGTATGTTCGCCTGACGTAATGCATGATTGTAAGCAAAAGTAAAGGTATCCCCGTACCAGGCCGTCGAGGCCAATAGGTTTGTGAAATGTTGAGGTTCCGACATTTTCTAGACAATCGGCTCAGATGGCGGCAAGGTTGTCAGCCCTACACGCCGGCCGCCCTATACCCACGAGAACATTCCAAGAATATTCCTGGTACTTATTTCTGTTAGAGACTGAGTCGACCCCAGGGCCATAGCGCGGCTGGAAGGATTAGGTCAATTTAAAAAATCCAATGACCTCATTGGGACTTGAACCCGCGACCTTCCGGCTTGTAGCATAGTGCCTCAACCAACTACACCACCACATGCCCCCAGTGCATGACTGTACTATATTTTAATAACAGCAGTATCATGTTGAAATCTCAAACAGCTTCGAAACTTCGGAAAACTTAGACGCTGAGGTGGATATTAGATACAACTTGGGAATATCAAAATTTCAGCTAAGGAATTGAAGAAGTATAAGCCTTGGTTCAATGAAGGTTACTCGAAATAATTAGATAAAAGGTAAGCCAAACTGCAGTGGTTAACAGGATCCAAGCGAATGAAATGGGAATAATCTGAACAATATAAGACATGAAGCCAGGATGCATATCAGAAATGAAATGATGGGCCATTTGAAAGACAAAAGAAACTTGTAACAACCAGTAAGATCAAGAAAATCAGAGACAGGTATAGAGGAATAAATGAATTTAAGAGGTGTTACCAACCTAGAAGTAAGTTAGTGACGGATGAGAATGGTGATATGCACGTAGATTTCCACATTTTAAATAGGTGGAGGAACTACTATACTCCTAATTACTGAATGTACATAGGATCAGCAATATTAGGCAGATAGAAATACCATACATATAGCTGAGCTGTTAGTACCTGATCCCAGTCCTATTGAGTTGAAATTGCTACTGCAAAGTTGAAAAGGTGATCACATTTCATCAGAACTGATTCAAGCAGGAGGTGAGACTTACCATCTAAGATCCAGAAACTCATTAATTCTGTTTGGAATATGGAAGAATTGCTTGTTATTGGAAGAAGTCTGTTATTGTAACAATTTAAAGCAGGGCAAAAAATCTGACAATAGTAATTGTGGGATATATTGCTATTAACTTCATAGAAAATTTTATCCAATATCCTTCTCTCAAGGTTAAGACCATATACAGATGATATTATTGGGGATTGTCAGTGTGGATTTTGATGTGACAGATTAACTTTCAACCCTGAAGATGGAAGCAGCTGATCCTCCAAAACATCAGTTTCCTTTCACCAGATTACAGGATGTTATATCCCAGAAGACACAACTCTTCATAGATAATACTGATTTCCATATATATAAAATGACCTCACATTCTTTCCATTTTTCCTTTTGCAATTTTCTTTTTGTTGTTCTATTATCTTGGTCAAATGTAGATAAAACTTGTAATCACTGGTGCCTATCAAATATAGACAAAACTTGTAATCACAAGTGCCTGCCAAAATCTGTTAAGGCAGAAGGTTTTCTATCCTTAACTCCAGCATTTCTCAGTTGACTGCCATAGGCCAAATATTAAAAAATCTCATTGTAAGTTAGTCGGTGAAGTCTTATTCTTAACACTGGCATCACCTCAGTAACTGACAGTCCACAGTGAAATAATGTGGTACTCCACACTTGGAATAACATCAGAGATATAAAAGCTCATGTGGCACAGCACAGAAATGTACATAGTAAGTGACTGATCTGTGTGTTGTGGTAGGTCTATTAAAAATAGCACATTTCATCCTCTCACAACCCTCTGCTCACTTCCATCTATCTGGGCATCTCTCCAGTCAACTTATTTCTAAATCAGATTGGGTTAAATCATTTGTGTAATGTGTTTCTATACTTCCGTGTCTGTCTGCAAGCATTTACTGTCCACCTAACTGCAGAAGTACGAGATTAAGAGAACACTGAAAATTGAAATCTAATTATAGTAAAAATACAGGCAAAGCACCAAACATGTGAGGGTTGGAACTTTAATAGTGGCAACTATTTATTTGCAAATGATACAAAATAGACGCATGTTCCAAAGTTCTACTGTCCTTCACTGTAGTCACCAGCATTGCGTACAACCCAATGCTAGTGATGTGGAAGTCGTAGGATACTTTTAGCAGCGCCTGTTGTGTTGATAGTTCGAATGGAGCAGTCTACTGCCTGAAGACTCTCTGNTAAACATGGTATAGTGTTATGTATATTTTAGGTTGATGTATATTTTATGTTGACTAGTTCCATTGTTGGAGCATTTGTTGAAGATATTTGACTTGTTCTGTGTCCAGTGGTGTTGGCCTGTAATTGGATTTGCTTGAATGCAATAAATACTATACTATACTATACCCTACCAATATTAGTGCATACCATCAGTCCCACCGAGCCAGCAAGTTCGGCCTCCACTGGCTTGGTGCTGTCTATAATGCTTCCCCCATCTATCAGGGGCGTTAGGGACTACTGTTGGGCGGGAAACATCCTTGAATTTGGCTCAGTGACCTTCTTTGGAGATATGAGGTTCTTTTACGTGCCATAAAGCTACGACACGGGACACATGGCTTAAAGTCCCTCCTGGAGGACTTGTTCCCTGAATTTTTCCGCCCTTAAAAATTTGACGACCTCTGCCGGGTTTGAACCCACGTACCACAAGTCATGAGGTAGGAATGTTACCTCTGGACTACAGAGGCTGCTCACAAGGGCTTAAGTCTGGGGAGTATGGTGGATGGTACAGCACTTCCCAGCCCCGTTGATCGAAAAAATCAGCCACAGCTTGCATTTCCGTCAAATCATGCGGAACCCATTGTGATGCAAATTTTCTCATGAAACTCTCGGGCCAGCTCACAAATTGTATGGTGTTGATCACTCTCCAGTAACGTGGAAAGAGCATACACATCTTTCTCACTGACACTAGGATGACCTGGCTGACGCATGTATGCCACATTTTGGCACCCCTCATTGAAGGCTTTTACCCATCTTACCACTATTCTGTAAGGCAATGCAGATTCCCCACAAGCCTCTTGAAGACCTTGATGACACTGTCGTGCTGTACAGCCTCTGGCACATTCAGTCTTTATCCAACTCCGTTGTTCCTGTTTCGAGAACACTGTGGCAACACTACATTAGACCACCAGCTAACACGAGGCTCTGTTCTTCTCGTCACTGCGCAAGCATGTGATGTGGGAAGGGAGAGTCCATTTGCTCTGGGGTAAGGTAGGTATGTAACTAACGTGTGGTATAAGTGACATTATTTGGTTCCAGTGCATGGCATCTCTACAGCAGTGTTGCCACTATTAAAGTTCCAACCTTCGTACTTGTAAGAGGTAACAGTATCTTCATATGTAAATATAATTTCAAATATCTACTGGTATGTTGGAACTTCTAACTGAACTTTTCATGAATTACAATAGCCCATCAATAATTTATCCAAAGTAAAATATACATTGTTGCTAACTGGAAAATTCTGCACCTACTGTCATCTGATTTTTCATTTACACAAAAGTTTCTCCAACATTAGAAGTTTAAACAGTCACTGTGTTTGAAAATTCAATTCTGCATCCAACTGTCATCTGATTTTCTTTTATACAAACATTGGAACACTGGAAGTTTAAACAGTCACTGTGTTTGAATGTTCAATGGTATATTGCTTAAAAACAGACACTGAAGCATTTTCCAGTAACGTTCAGTAACATTCATAGGCTCTGAGTTTTATAAAAATCTGACAAATTTATTCCACATGCCAGGAAGAAGGGAAGCCTGCACACACAAAAGATTTCCCCCTAGCACTGTTTTTCCTTTTGGAAACCCGCCTGAAGAAGAAAACATAATCCTTATAAAAGCCACTGAACTTCTTTCATTATTATGATCATTCAGCATTTACAAAATTAAACAAACTGTGATCCCCCAACAATACAAAAACAGTATAACATTCCAAATTTAATTTTAACAAGTGACTAACCCAAAGTGATGGCACTCTAAACTTCAGATCATGATGTAAATAAACACAACCACACAAAAATCAAAATACATTGTCTTTATTGGTAAATATCTTGATAACATACAAGCATATTTTTAATTTGAAACACAATAATGTTACAAGCAGAATTAATAAAAAAATAAGTAATTCGCAAAGTCATGTTAATAAATCAAGCAACAAAATTAAATTCTTCATATTAATACCATGTTCAGTCTCTGACTGCAAAGAGGCATCTGATTTAGTGAGCACAAATGTGGTTAGTCTGCTATTCTCAGTTAATTATTCAGTCCGAATGGTGGCATTTTCTGCAGCAACTTTATTCTTCATATCTTCATAAGATGGCAGAGACTGAAATATAATATTATATATGCATACACTTAAGAATATAATGTATATAAATAGCACTCATTAAATATGCTCTGGAATATAAGTACATGGTGCATCATTAATTATGTATGTGTAATATCATACATAACTTCCATATAATCTGTGCATCTAGAAGTGTCTATTACAGCACTGAACAGACTCACACTTCATACTTAACAGACCAACTGAAATCATATTGCAATTACAAAGCTTGAAACTGTTTTATATTTGAATCTTCAATATTAAAAGTCTTTAATATCTCTCTTTCACACACCTTTCACGTACTCCACTTAGTAAAGCAACTAAAAATTCTACAATTCTACATTTCTAGACAGTGCAGCTGTGAAGGGAACTTATGCATTACGTGCCACCCTAACTTGGCAGGAGGAGCATCTGATTCTTGTACCTGAGTCTGCCCTAAAAAACCCTCGAAATATATGTTGTAGATATCTAAAAAATTACTTCCTGTATGTAATAATCATCATCTGCTGTCCAAAAACATAAAAATTAGAATATACAAATCTATAATATTGCTTGTGGTTCTGTATGGTGTGAAACTTGGTCTCTGCCATTAAGGGAGGAACATAGACTGAGAACAGGGTGTTGAGAATATTTGGATCAAAGAGAGATGAAGTGACAGGAGGGTGGAGAAAACTGCACTATGAGGAGCTTCATAACTTGTACTCTTCAAGTCAAGGAAGATGAGGTGGGCAGGGCATGTAGCACGAATGAGGGAGAAGAGGAATGCATATAGGATATTGGTGGGAAAGCCAGTTAGAAAGAGACCACTCGGAAGACCAAGGCATAGGTGGGTGGACAATATTAAAATGGATCTTGGAGATATAGGAAGGGATGGATTGGACTGATCTGGCTCAGGATAGGGACCAGTGGATGGCTCTTGTGAACGTTTTAATGAACCTTTGGGTTCCATTAAATGCTTGGAAGTTCTTCAGTAGCTGCACAATTGGCTGCTTCTCAAGAAGGGCTCAGCTCCATAAGTGAGTGAGTGACTATATCTACTACAGTAGAGTGTAATTTAGCTCATGTGTATATAGTCATAGGATTAAATCCTAATTTAATCCTTACCCTAATCCTACAAAATATCTAAAACTGTGATAACAAGAATTCCTTTTATCACATTCGTAAATATACTGAAGATTGTTACTGTCATAATTGTTATTGCTGCTGTAAACATCATCACCAGCATATCATATTTTTGTCGTTGCTATTATCATAATTTTTTTTAGGAAATACTTATTACTGAAGAACAGATTCTGTATACTTTAAATAATATCTCATACATAATTTAAAATGTTTATAAAATATCTTCATACAAAATTTCATATTTCTAGGTCCAGTGGATTATTAGTTACATGTATAACTGTCAAAATTAAAGACAAATGAAAATTTCACACAGCTCCCCCATTGCTGTTTTACATTTTACAAAATAATTACCTTTACAAGAGTTGCCTATTTTTCAAAGCTCTATTACCAGGACTCTATGTTAAACATTGCTTCCACTTCACAAGTTGGTGCACCTGTCATGCTGTTACTTAAAAAAAAAACCTTAAAATTATGAGGTTGCTGTGGTCTCCAATGGATTAATAGTTATGCCAAATTTCATGCAATCAGTCAATTGGATGAACCATTGAAACAGGGCATGAGGGCATGGTGATCTGGTAAGACTATGTGATTCCCTTCATAAAACAAAGTTTACTAATACTGAAACTGGGAAGATAGCACTTTCATTTCATGCATTTGATATGTGTAACAAAGGGCAAGACCAATATCTTGAGCCAGTCACTGGCCAGGAACTTCTGAGACATCCGAAACCCTTATAATTGCTTGTACAAACTTTCTGTACACAGCTTACACACATAATTTAAACCATGCAGTAAACAGGGTTCAGTGCAAGTAATATTCCTATGGCAAGACAAGAAGCTATAACACACAACTGCAGCAGGTTAGTGTTCCAGTTAACCACACAAATTCAGGCTGCACTTGTTAGGGCCCACATACCTCCCACAGACTGGCATTCCAACTTGGAAATAAGGATGTGAAGCTGACAGGTTCATCACCCTGCTTCAGTGTGAAGATGGGTGTTAGTTCGTGACTTCTATCAGTTGGATCACTTTTGAGATACTCCTGCAATATAACAAAATCATATTCAGTTGTAGCAGTAAAATATAAATATAAATAGGCTAGAGCAACAAGATGTTTTTACAATTCAAAATGATCATACAACTTACAAATAATTACAAACTAATGAATTTCACTGGCATGAATATTACATATACAAACATTTCAGTAAATGAGTACATAGTAATTATGTGACATGCAGAAACCAAGTGCCATGGTCAAGTCTTCAGTACTACTGTTTGCAGCTTCTTATTTGGAATGTCCCAAGGTTCAAATACTGGACCAGAGACAAGCTATAATGAAAATATGACTACATTTCCTTCCACACGTACAGCATACCATGTGAATGCAGAAGGAAATATATAGGAGAGAGAGAGAGAGAGCAAACTTGAAGCCAAAATTATGGAACAAAAAGAGTGGGATACACAACCAAGCGAAAAATAGCTATCACCCATTTACACATACACTGGTCCTCCTCTCTTGGTACAAGTAACATGCAGGAACTATAAGAGTCTCACTAAATTACACACTCCCAATCCCACTGCACCATAGCACACATACAGTCTTCAAATCACACTTCAAACCTTCATAGGTTGACTTTTTACTCCTCTTCCATGACAAACCTTTTGTGGCTATCTTCTACCAAGAACTCAGAACTCTCTGCCACTGTCACTTCTAGTTCCAATTCACTTTGTTTGTATGCTTCCACGGCTACTATCTTTCTCTGCCAGGTAAGGAATTCTGCTCACTTATATAGCCGAGGGACGGACATCGACCAACAATAAACACATATCACGTGACCCCTACCCACTGTTGCTGTGTAACGTCACTGCACATTCATTCATTCATTCATTCATTTATTTTTCGTTCCATGGATCCACAATACAAGTGAGATATAGGACATGTCCATACAGTGATTATTCTTAAAATTAATAGAGCAAGAACCAAATACATAAATAAAAAAGAATAAAATACAAAATTGAAGCAAAACATATAGAATTAAATAGATTCCAGTCATATAAGTTACTTTAATAAAACATGCAGTTTAAATTTAAACAATGTCAGTTTGAACATATCACAGAAATTGCTTAGGTGACTAGACTAGAATAGTAGAATCATGACTAGAATAATACTAATAAAAAACTGGATGATCAACAGGTGATTCTAGTGAATGCATAATCATTAACTTATAATGATTTATATTGGAAATATTCTTCCACAGAATAAAAATGATGAAGATAAAGAAAACGCTTTAAACAAATTTTGAACTTCTTAGGGTTGAGTGACTCTTCTTTTATATAAGAAGGAAGATTATTATAAATTTTTATGCCCATATAATACACTCCCTTTTGATATACCGTAAAATTTGCTATGGGTTGATAGAAATTTGTAATATGTCTTGTATTTAT